CTCCAACCTTTAGGAGCATTAACTTGTTCAATATCATATACTTAGGGGGATTGCTGATAAATATAGTAAACTACATTTAATCTAATGCTCTGAATAATTAAAATGAGACAAAAAAAACAAAACAGAAATACAACGGTAAGGGGAGAATAATTTTCATCACTACTATATGTAGACTTTTAGGTTTCAAAAAGTTTTAAAGAGATTACAAATTGAAGCAGAAACAGGCCTTGGGAACTACAACTTGATTTTATAAACATGATCTTATTTTTTGTTTATAGAGACACTGAAAAAAGTCATTAACTGCGATTAAAAGGTTTTTGTTTTTAATCTTAAAGTCGATGTCAACAGCTTTTTTTAAAAAAAAAAGGCTTAAAAGAGTTTCAATAAAAATTACCCCCATTGGCTTTTTCCTCTCATTATAACAACTTTACATTTTAGTTTCATGCCTCCTTGATTTTTCTTTTTTCTTTGTAATTCAGTCAGTGGATTTTCAGCCTCTCTTTATAATTTCTTTTTTTTCCCTGGTGCTGTATGTGAGCTCCTCATTTTTCGCGCCCTTCTGCCTCTACCATGTGACAGCTGGTCTGCAGTCTTTTTCCCGCCAACAGACCAGCTGCCCATTCCAGTCAGAGGTGTTGTGTGTTTTTCTGTGTGTGTTTTACATAAAAGGCAGTTCTTTTCTGTTAGATTCCATATCTTCCCTCCTTTACCGTACTCACTTCACAGACAGGAAGGAACATGACACTTGCATAAAAAGACCCACTCTACAGCTATAGCAGGAGAGAATAGACACACAATAAAAGCACACTCTGAACGCCCTAAACCCACACACAGACAGTAGCACTGAGCCGGATTGTACACTTCTGCACCTGCTCGTTGTGCAGAATGCGGCTGTGACTCACTGTTTTTATTCTCAGCGTTCTCTCTACAGATCAACAATTGTCTTCATATTTTGAGGGAAGAAATAATGCAGTTCACTAAACTGGAAAACAGCAGCTACGCTGTAGCAGGGCAGGACTGAGAGAACGGTTCAAACTCAACACTCAGGGTTCTAACAGCCCAAATAACACAAGCCAATTAAACAACCTGAAATCATTTTGGGGCATAATTTCCTCCAATTCTGTATAAATCTCTTCAATCCGTTCATATTACCCTAACTTTGAAATCTGCCATAATCAAACTCATGAAAAAAAAACATACCCTGGGTGCCTAGGGCATAGCAAAGTGCAGACCTATTTCAATCTTTCCTTTAATTTCTAAGTTGTTGAGAAATAATTTTATATTCATTGCACCTCCATGACCACAGCCTTTTGGACAATATTTAATCTGGTTTCTGTTCTGCCCATTGCACTAAAACAGCTTAGGTCGGCATCACAAATGACCTGTTGACGATTGTGGCATGAGGCTCTCCGTTACTTCTCCTCCTTTTCAATTTATGAGCCGCCTTCGATACAGAAGACCAACAGATTAGATTTTGTCCCAATTGAGTATTCCAGCTCACAGAGCCGTCCTGTCTCCTATGGTGTGCCCCAAGGATCAGTTCCTGGGCCACTTCCTTTTCCACTATACATGGTATCACTATATATGGTAAAAGCTTTTTTTTAATAAAAAAAAACTTAAAGTTTTTTTTAAATTGGACCCTGAACTGTTTTCCCTGCTGCCTTCTGAGAAGAGGCTTCGCAGCATCTACTGCAGGGCCAGCAGGTTCTGTAACAGCTTCTTCCCCACTGCCATCAGACTGTTGAAACTCTAATCAAGTCACAAGTCACAAAAAAATGGGACAGTGATGAAAAAAATAGCCCTTTTAACTTAGCTGCTGTTGAAAGACAGCAGCTAAGTTATGCTGTGCAGTAAAATTTTAGTAGTAGTAGTAATGGTAGTGCAGTAGTAAAATTACTGGTGATTGTTGTCATGCAAAATGTACTGATTAGTATTTATCATATAACACAAAATAAAAACAAAGAAAGTTGTCTGTTGTTAATTTGATAGCAGTCATTTGCAAAGCTATCAAGAACTTGGTAACACAAATATATCTTCCTTCTGCTCCTTTCAATTATAAAATTCAACAAAGGTATGAAAAAAATAAATATCTTCTTTACCTAAAAGCTAGGTGGTAAAACAGGTACATTGTTGAACTTGAGTTATAAACTTGAGTTTAAATGTTTTCACTTGAATATAACACTACATTGCTGTTGTTCTGCACATAATAAGTCTGATCTGATAAAGCTGATCAAGTCTGTAACTGATATACAACAAGATTATAATTAAAAATCCAAATTTGATGTGGTTTCAGTGCTGTTTTTTAAAAACCTCCTCAATACAAAATCCATGTTACTTATCAGTTAAGATAGAGATAAATAGAGACAAGTTGGTCTCCACTTTATACCAAGTGATCAATATTTCAGAGTTATTTATGTAGAAAAATGTTTATTAGTTCTATGTGTGATTTGTTATTAGTACTAATTTATATAAAGTTAACATATAATGCTTGTACTTAGTGGAGATGCACAGGCAATGGATAAAGAAGACAGAGGTCAGTAATATTGACACTGGCCAGGAATAAATAAACTAATGATGCCAAAAAACCTAGAGGGCAGTATAGTTTGAAGTTCTCCTGGCCACTACTTCACCTTGTCCTTTTTAAAAAATTTGTGCAGGTGGACATGGTATGTCAATGTTTGCTAAACTCAACAGGTTTAGGAATTTGCAAGATTCAACTTCCTAATGCAATCCATTTGGCAGTTGGTAAAATAAGTAAATATATCAAAACGTTTTCCTTTTTATCTGTTGAAAAGAGAAATTAATCTTATTTCATTTTACAACTTATCAACTGATCAAAAGATATGTTAATCCCCAAAGAAGCTAAATATAGGTTTGTGTATTTCAGTTATATCTTGATTCTTATTTCATTGAATTCAATAATGGGAATTTCCCCTCGTTCCTGAGAGCTAAGAGCTACATTACTTCTTTTTGTTTAATTGTAATAATAATTTAAGCCTACACAAGATACCATAATAGCAGGAAAAACAAGTCTGTTGTGTTCTGAAATTGTACCTTATGGTTCTTGCTCTGACTCCTTACTCTTTATGGCCACCACTATGCTGGCAATAGGAATTCTTGCAGCACTCGTCTTGTTTATCTTTCTGACATTGCTTTCCTATCTACATTTGTAAAAAATAAAAAATACTAAAACCCCCCACACAAAAAAAAAAATAAAAACAACCCACCCAACCCATTTTTTTCCTTCAAACCATGTTCCTTAACCATGATCTAAAGTTAACCCTATCCTTTGTAAAACCTAAAATGAATGTATTAGATTTCTCAAACTGGAATTCCAAGTACGAGAATTAACTTCCATTTAAAGATGTATGCTAGAATTTTTACCACTACTGTTTATGTCCTATCTGCTCCCCAATATTATTTTAACAGCCCTTTGTGACCAGTTCTCTCTTCCCTTTATCATATCCCTCACCCCTTTATTCCTCTCAACTGTCTCTCCTGTTCGACGCTATTTGGGACTGCTGCTCAACTTGTCCTGTGCCTCATAAAATCAAGCATGACCCAAGCAGAGCCTTTGGTCCACCTGATCTGCATCCACTGAGCAGGCCAGCAGCAAGCCAGGTCAGTGGAAGAGCTCCCAAATCTGTTAATGGGCAGTTCATACCTCCGCTGTAGTCTGGCCACAATGTTGGGAAAAACCCAGTAATAGTGTTAGAAAAAGCAAGAGCTTCGAAAGTAGGCACAGTGGTTATGAATTAAGTATAGATCTCTTTAATGTCAATCTACTTCTACTCTACCAAATGCATTGTATCAGTTCTTCTGTAACAATTCTTTGCTTTATTTATTTATTTTTTTTGCACAATAACACAGGGATAAGTATACAGATCTTAAAGTATGACTGTTAACACACTGTGGAACTTTGCATGCTGAAACATTAATATTTTCCTCTGTTGGATCTTCAAGGTTTTTTGCAATAGTGAATCAACAGGTATTTAATTAATTCAATTAAATTCTTACCTAGGCTGGCTGAAATAATGATGACTGAAATCACTAGCTGCATTTACCGGTAGTCTCAGCAGATACCTTAGATCAATCAAAAATTAGTTAAAATTGTATAAAATAAAAAATTTGGTCTTTTGAAATAATAATATCTTTAGCGGATTATTTAGTTGACAAATATGTAAGAAATTAAATGTTTTTTATTTTTACCATTGCAATAAACTGATGCATATGTTATAAAGTAAGGATGAAAAATTTCCCAAAAATGACATCTGGGACAAGAAATTCTAAGCTGGATCTATGGAGTATTCAGAGTATTTATATGGAGATTGTTTTTATAATTATCAACACTTGTTATAAAAATTTAAATAAATGAAAATCACATAATTAAATTGTTTTAATTATTAAAAATCCAGAAATATGTCAAAGATTCCACCTTTTTTGTGTATTTATTGAACTATCTAAAATAGAATGGACTTTTGTTTCCATATAGATGAAACAAATAAAAATAACCACAGAGTTTGAATACAACCATTTATAACAACAATAATAACAGTAATAATTTATCTGCTGGATTTTGTCACATGCTCCCATACAGAAACACACAAACACAGATACAGTCAACTGTAAACCACATCCACACTTCCGGCTGTACACTCCAACTGACGGCAGCTGTGTTCGTTAACCCTTCTTCGTTCAAACATTACCACATTGCCAACCACACCCCCCACCCCCATACACACACATGCACGAGCAGAGTAAGCCTTGTGACACCCGTTGCTTGGATTATCAATGCAAGCCAAGGGATGCGGTCAAAGCAGCTCACTTGCTTATCAACACTGGAGCGCTACACTGTTAGGTCTCCTGCTCCCCGTCATCAGCAGACAAGTTCACACCAGGTATAAAGACACATTGCATACAAGGTGGCTTGTGTGTTAGCGTGTTTGTTTTAAAGTCTGGCATGGAGACTGCCACATGCATACACCAACACACACTCTTACCTCTGTTAACCATGTTTCTCCTCCAGGAGTAATTATCTCGCTCCATGTTTGGTCTTCAGACCTGCAGACAGGAGAGGAGAAATGTAAAGCAGCTCAACTTACATTAGTGGACTTTGTTTTTGGTTTTTAGGCCACGTGTGTGTGCACCAGAAAAAGGAGAGGTAGATGTCTTTGTGTTTTAGTTTTGTTATCTATCTTTTGCCACAGAAGGAGGACTTAAATGAACTGATTTCTGCTGCAAAACGGAAATTGAACTTTATTTTGGAGAGATTTAGATCAAATGCTATTTCCCTTCATTCACTGTTCATCCAACACTTATATAACAGATCATTAAAGTGACTTGTCTAAAAGAGAAACCCAGACTTCCTTTCCTTAGCAAGTGTCTAAATTATGAGAAATGCAAATGCATTTTCAGGCCAGAGGGGGTATATTTCCCTCTAGGGAATTCTTGGATGTGCCTGGAAAACCTCCAAAGAAAGACAGGAGGCACCCTGTTCAGATGCCAGCACAACAGACCCTTTTTAGTTCATAGGAGCAGTGGCTGTTGACCAGGCGCCGTGGATAACAAAGACAACTAGGGGGAAAAACTATGAACAAATCTTATTTCAGTCGTCTAGTTGAGCCAAGCTTTGACTATCAGCAATATTGACTCAAAATTGATCTGCTTGAGGAATTAAAGGTATCCAGGTGGAAACACATCAAAAATAAGGATCCCCATCACAATGTTTAGCAGTCTGAGGCGTTTGCGCTAATATATCAAGTTTGTTTTTGATTAGTCGTTGTGTGGAGTAGTAAGGTCTAATACCCGGTCTCTTCTGAAGAAAGCACAACTTTAGTGATATTTTTTTAATTTCAGTTAAATGGCTTCAATTCTCAGCAAATGACACCTGAAGGTACTTTACAAGACAAAACTCATATTCAGATCCAAATATGTAAAAATGTGTACCAATAGCAATCCAATTCACTCCACTATGCAATTCATATTGATTGTTGTAGCTCATGCAAAAAAAAAAACTAAACTTATGAGAAACTTGAAAGATCAAAGTAGGGTTTTTCATTTAGCAGTTGTCAGTCTAACACACTGGAAAGGTAATGTAGCCTGCAAGCAATTTATGCTTTAGAACTTCAAGTTTGAAGAATATCGTTGTAATCCTTGGAGCCAACTACATGCTGTTAGCATGGATCAGACGCTTTTTTTTATTGTATTTGACCCATTCAAATTTAGAACACTGTTTTGATTTATGGGACAATAGGGAGTGAAAAATGCAGCAGAGTCCCACACAAATCAGAACATCTGATCACCCTACTGTGTACCCATCCTAAACTGAAGGTTCCATTTTTAATTCAATTCCATTTCTAAATTCTTCTTTTGCTGTTTTGATCTGTCATAACATTTGTTTTTTTTTTCCTTGTCTTACATCTTCTTCGTCCCATGTACGAGCTATCCATCCCACCCATCTAGCTAAAATAATTTCAGGATCCCCAGCCCTCTGTAGTTCGTTTCTCTGTTCTTTCCTCCTGAAGACCTCCACTCTCCTGTTTGTCAACAAAACCGCAGAACTCTCCCTCAACATTATGCATTAACACAAACAACAACAATGGCAGACTTCAAAATTGCAGTTGTGTTTCAGAGGCTATTACCGGTACATTTATTGTGTAACAACAACAACACATCTTCTCTTCTACCATTGCAGTTAATTGTTGCCCTGCACTTCTTTGTTCTGGATTATTTCAATCTTTTTGTTTATAATAACATATATATATATATATGTATATATAGAGTATTATCCTTACACTAAATATCTTTTGTGCAGACATTATCTTTGGGTATGTGTGGATGTAGCCTATCAAACTACAAAATATCCTATTTTCATAGAGTGGGTGATGGTCCCTATCAAGAACAATAAAGAGAAATGTGTTGTTACAGGTTAATGAGGGTGGTGGAGGTCCACTGTGGAAAACAATCTGGGAACAATAGCGACATAAATGGTACAGTTGAATGAATTGTTGCCCTGTTTTCTTCTAGAGTGTGAAAAGAGAGCATGAATTAAAAAACGAAAAGAGAATTTGTCACGCTAATAACTTAACTAAATTAAGTATTTTCTAAAAGCACCAATACCCTTTAGAAAGAAAAAAAACACAAAAAGATTCAATATAATCATAGAGAAAGACTTTATTTTGAACATTTAAATTAGTAAAGAAAAATTATCTTATTTGCTTCTAAATCTTATTTGTCGACTAACACAGTCATATTCAGTCACATTCAGTTTATTATATAAATGGTTTAAAGGTTGTCTGTCTATGGAAACTCAGAGTATTGCACTGAGTCATTGACTTGCAGCATTCATTCCTTTTATCTGCAGTTCATTTCAAATGGTTTTATTCAGTGCTGTGTATGTCAGTGGTCATCCATAGTTGTCCCTAAATGTTAATTATTCACATGGTCATCACTGGGGAACCAAGCTGGATTTTTAAACGGGGTGTAGTGACTCTGAATAGCACATTGGCAGCTGAATGGATGACTGGACAATGAAGCTGTGTTCTAAAATATAAAAGACGGAACCTTTACCATCTGACCTCATATTATTCTCATTCATTGCCAACATTCCTATAATACCAGACCAAGTGCAGCATAACACCCAGCAAGTAGAAATTTGGAAGGACCCCAAAAATATTTAGAAGTATAAAAAGAATGAAGTATAAAAAGAATGAGATCATTAGCTTTATTATGATTTAATCTGAAATTTGACACCCATGACAAATATACATATTGCTTAAAGACATTGTGGAGGACCCTCTCCACTTAAAAAGAAAGGCACATGCACAACCCTGTACCCACACCCGAAAGGGAACGCCTATGAAACACATGCGAGAGCATGCACAAGCCCATTTCTCCTTCTGCACGCTCTGTTTAAAAGTTACTGTTCTCATAACTCATACAAGCTGTGTCGAAAAACATCCACCCTAACCCCAAAATCCCTCAATCACTATAGAGCGGGGACCGATGTTTGGACAGATAATCACTACGTTTTGCTCCCCGTTGGTCACGTAACTCCTCCTCCACCACGAGATGCCTACGCCATCTTTGTTATACGTCACCGCTGTCGGGTAGTGACAGCCTATGATAACAGCGGGTAATAAAGCATTCAAGGATATATATGCCTCTTCTGAGGCCTTTCTTTTCTTCCTATACACTTCGTAGACACTATTTCTCTCACAACCCTCGGTCATTTTTAAAGAACCGTGGTAAGAGAGGTGAGCTTCAATGACTGTCTGAAACCATAGCTCACCACAGATATGCGCCTGAAAGTGTGCATGCTCAGAAAAACATAGCTAAAGGGGCGAGCACGTAGGACGGCCTTACGTAAACATATCACCAGAATGATTGACAATTAGGAGGACCACTTATTTAGAAGATCCACCTGGAAATAAAATATCATCCTCTATACCCTTAAAGAGTGAGATGGCGACCATTGGACCTTTTTCCAATGAAACTCCTTGATTTTAAAGACCTGGGATATCATTTTTCCTATTAAACGGTATACAGGGTACTTTCTCTGCTTTCATTGCTCTGAAAAACAGTGAAAATGTATCTGAAAAGCTAATGACATACAGGGAAGTTTTTTAGAAAACTGCACATCCCATCCAGTCTGGTTGGCGGCTTTAAAAATAAATCAAAGACATCATCAGCTCTTCCTGTCCTTAGCCCAGTCTAGGGTATGTTGCCTTGTAACCAAGAAAGCAAGAGGCACAGAGTTTTGCATAATTAAAAATCTCCGTACTGTTGCACCATTTTTTTTTTTTTTTTTTGTGTTTTATCTACCGGTATAAAAAACTCCGGCAGTTGTACCCACAGTGCTGTGTTTTCGTGAATTTTTAAAATCTAAATTTTATATCAAATTCTTCCCACATTACAGTTAAATAAAACAATCCCCTCATGAATCCTAACATTATTCTTGTTTAAACCGATTTGCACAGTAATAAACAAAACACTGGAATAACCCAAAGTTGAGCTGTTAGATATCATTTGACTAAATTATATCTGTTTTGACTTCTACTGATGAAAGCAAGCAGGTATTTTAAAATAATTTTCTGGGAATAAAACATTTTTATGGCTACAGAAAGAACAGAACCTCCCTCCAGCCCTGGCGTGGCAGGCCAGTTGTAAGAGAAGTAGCACTTTTTCAATGAAGCAAGAGTTTTAATGTTTATGCTACTTGCACTATTACATTTCCGTTTAAACCCTCTTCCAGTTTTACCCATCAAAATTAAAGTGGTAATCTGAAAATCCTACCCCTAGACCAGGATCTTTTGTCCTGGAAAGTGCGACCCTATGAATCTGAAATTACTCTGACAAATTGTACAGAAATTCAAGGAGGGCTTTTAAAACCTGAAATTCTAGCTGAAAGTTTCTCCAGTTAAAAAAAGGCTAACAGGTCTGTGCAAAAAGATTTAAGACTTCGCTCTGTTTAATGGTCTATGATATGTCCTCTTTTTTTCTTATATTTTCATAATACTGTAAACTATTTTTAAAGGAGACAAATTCAAAACAGCTATATCAAAGCACACACTGTAAACTTTATCAACCAACATTGTGACCTGCAGAAATAGCAGCAGACTTCCTGTAAAAAAAAAGGCCATAGCCTACCTCCTCTCTCCTAGAGATTATGGCTTCCTATGTTTCCTCCAGCCTTATTATTTTTTTTTTTGCAAACAAATGCAACTGAAATTTGAACTCATCAAGCATTTAGAACATACACTGTATCCTATCAAATATCACTCAAGTTTCATTTCTGAATATGATGGTGGTCAGTTAAAAGCCTGGGGTTTTCCAGTATTCACAGTAATATAGACCTAATTGGATCAGTTGAATTAGAATATACTTGCTGTACAGCCTGATGCATTGAGATGAATCCAAAGGCCATATTACTTTACCAGGAGTCTGTTAACCAGCCGTTTATTTGCTTCGGTGGGCTGAAAATACATAAAGTTTCAGGATTGTGATTCTCAGAGGAT